GATTTTACTTCCACAGCAGAGGATCTGGGTTTTTCACCTTCCGATCATCTTTCTTATCTCAGACGGCTTCTTCTCCTGCTGACTTGATCTATCTTTTATGATCCAATGCTTATTTTGAATCTGAGAACATAGGTCAGTGTTTAAAATCATCTCTATTTCATACAGAAAATTTTGTCTCTGTCTCTGATTTTTAATGGTTTTCCCCAAATTCTTTCTTATGGTGATATTGTCATATGTCTGTGTGTTTTCTGCCTGTTGGGCTAGCCTGCTCCCAGAGGTACACTCCTCACCCAGTGACTCTGCCTATAATGGTCACCTGTCCAGAGAGGGAATCTCACTGGCTTTGACATGCTCATGCGCACCCATGCCACAACTTACTGTCTATATTAGGAGATAGTCCTGATTTTTTATGCCTGGGTCTTCTACAGTCACATCCCCGGTCCTTTTCTTTTTTATGCATATTTGAGATTCGCGATCTTTGCGTTTTCCTTCAACCCAGTCCTGTCTGCACTTTAACAAACACTTCTCTGACTTTCTAACATATGCATGATAACTTTTCCAGTTATTGCTAATGTGGGTCTTCCCATTCCTGTTATAGTTCACTGGAAATTTCCATGGGAACCTGGTAGACTCAAGGATATAGTCAGGTACTATACTCTTTCCATCATCCTATTGGAAATCCCACAACATTTATTCTTTATGAATTGCTGACATAGAGGTTGCCCAGCCCATCCACTCTGCTCTTCTGTCTATGGAGCAGAAAACTGATTCTGACCTGGGCACACTGCTGCCTTTAATAAATGATATTTCCCATTTCCCGTTGACATCTGGCATGGTCACCTGATTAAGTCCTGACCAATGACAGGCAAGAGAGAATTGGGGGTTGGCATGAGTTTCCAGGAAAGCTGCTTAGAGGGAGTTGATCCAGCTGAGAAAACCCTTTCCTGTCACTTTTTTTGGCCTACGATGCAGATGTGATGACTGGCACTCCAGCATCCATCTTAATCTATGAGGACAAAAGCCATCCATTAGCATGGTGTTGAAGACAGACAGGTGGCTAGGACCCTGATGGTACTGGGGAGTTGCCATACCAGCCCTTGCCTGCCTACATCAGGGCTTCTTTTATGTGAGACAGAAATAAGCTTCTATCTTGCTTAAGTCACTCTTATGTGCATTAAAAAATTAAAAAATCAAACCTAATTCTAACAAATATAGTATGAGATGTATTTATGATGCCAGCATTTTCTAACTTTGAACATATATTCAGAATTTTAATCATATATACCTATATTTGAAATATCACTTTTTACTTATGACACCTTATGTCATTACTTAAACTATATTTGTTTTAAAATGAAACATATTACCATTTCAGTATTATATGAAATAAACAGACAATAATAATGAAAAGGGATTAAATTCTAGCTATGGACTCTTGCCTGTCTATGATCTATTAGCAAGGGACAGAGGCTTTAAAGACATATTAGACCCTAAAGCGATGAACTTCTCTTCAATCAGAAGTCTTGCTGGAGAATTGAAAAGCATGTAAGTTTCCATAATTCAAGTTTATTTAGTCCCATTTCTACATACTACCAAAAACCATTTAAATAGCAACTGTGGTAAACGTTGGAAAACACTCGTGAATGCAGAGAAGAGCAAAGAAATAAAAAATATATGGTTTTTGTTACACACTTATCTAAGTTTTCTTAGTGCTATAGTGAGCAAGATTCTGAAAACACAAAATGGAATTTGATGGACAGAGCAAAACTAGTTATTATGCTTCTGTTCCATAATATTTCCTGGCAATGATCAGTCAAAACAGATCTGAGAGCTGTGATAACATTCATATGTTAATACTGGGATGATAAGGTTTTCAGCAACCTAATTTCTTCAAAAAAGGAGGGATTTATTTCAACTTAGATAAGAGATCTTCAGACATTCCTGTTGAGAAGTGCCTCCTTAATCCATAAAATTACACCTGTCACAGCGGCTTAACTTCATTAACGCAACATCGTGATCCATGGTGAATTATTAGCAACACAGAATCCATGACTCTCAAGCTAATTAAGACTGCCTCTTTTGCATTCCGATGATCTGACTTTTAAGAATAACTGAAAAACATTCAAACAGAGTAGGAAGAATTTATAAAGCAAAACAGCTTCTGAAGCAAAACTTACTAACATGAAAACATCCACTCCATAATCCGTTTTCCAATTATCCTTAAGAGAAAGAGAAATAGATCTCCTCCCAGTTCACTCGCTATCCCAAATAGGAGGACATGATTTTTCTTTATTTAATGCCATAAAGACAGATGTAAAATGAAAGATTTTGAAGTGAGGATAAAAGTTGAACATATTACTGAGACTATATCACATTCAAAAAATGTCTGTTTTAATGGCATACATTTTATTAAATGGTAATGCATGCACACAGTTAAAAAAAATCACAGTCCAAATAGTTCACGGTAAAAATTAATTTACATCCAGCCTTCTCCCCCAACCTTCTCAGCTCCCCCCAGGAGAAATCCCAGTTGGCAGTCTTTCTGCTCAGAAAAGCACCCATCTCCAGTTTTCCCCAAATGGGGCTTCAATATATATGCTGCTATGCATCTTACCTACTTGAGCAGGTGTACTGGAGACCATTCAATATGTGTCTTTATAGATTTGCATCATAACATATATAGTCACAGAGATACAATCGAATTCCAGAACTTCATTAAACCAATATTTACGGAGAGCCGTGTGTGTACCAGACGCTCCTGCAGGAGCTGGAAACACAGCTGCGAACAAGACAGACACAAAAGCTCCCATCTTGCAGCTTCCTCACTGAGCAAAGCCTCCTTAGCTTTAGTGTAAGCACTGGGGATTGCACACAAATGAAATAAACCTCTGCATCAACACATATGTGTATATCTAAGACACATAAAAATGTACATGCTTATGCATGCACATACTGAAACACATATATCACATATGTTCTCTATACATACACTATATCTCCTATATAATATATAGCATATTACGTACACAGACACATAATAATATATACTTATATAATATACTATATACACACAAACATAGATAATATACTCTGTATAGATATACATATACAACATACTACAGACACACACAAGTGGATGCGCGTGTATGCTCTTTTCCATCATCTGGACCCATTGTAGGGAACAGACACAGACATCAGAATCTACAAAGGCATAAGGAATATTCTCCACAGGGAATGCATGACGATACAGGGACTTTTGAAGGGATAGTTTGATATTCCATTCAGGGCACTTGTTTCTTAAAGAAGATACTGATACAAAAGAAAGAAAAAAAGGGCAAGTCACACATTTGTACATTGTGACATGCTCTGGAGATGCTGAGTTTCTGTTCCATTTAAAAAACTGTTAAAACTCCTTGGAAGGGCCTGCATGATTTGATCCATAAAAAGGCAGCTTACACCTCAATGGGGAGGAGCTCCCCTTGGAAATTTTCCTTACTTCTCCCTGGTGCCCAAGATGAACTGAACTAACTCTTAGCCAGAATTTCAAAAGGAAAAAACAAAAAGGTTCAAATCCCTTTGCATTTCATAGAAGACACTACAGCCACCACTACTAAGAATAATCCATGGAGTAGACAGCAAGAAAGAGAACAAGACCAACCAAACCTGCATAGGCTGAGATCCTTTCCCCCAAATTCCTCCTCCTCTTCTGTAAGGAATAAAATATCTGCCTATCTATCCACGCATCCATCCATCCTTCCTAATTTTTGCTGACTTCACAACACAAAACAAATCTTCCACGGAGGAGGCACCTTATTGCCAAATCATGACAGACGTATTTGGACGTGTGCCTATCTGTAGTGTGCAGACTATTACTATATAAACATTTAGGGAAGAATTCAAATACAAGTTTCTTCTTTTTCCTCTCATTTGCTCTACAAGCAAATCTTAAGGAAAAAAAATCTTGAGTCACCAGTCACAAGGAAAGACACAAATCAGAGCTTGAGAATTGATAACGCAAACCCCGGAGCACCAATGTCGAGCCGACAAGCACAGAAGAAATTCCAAATCAAACCATCCCCAAACTGGTGCCAATCGCTCCTTGGAAATGAACTCAAAAAACTGCAATAGCCATCAGCTGCGACTCACGACCTCCGTATTAGAATAAATAGCGGAAAATAAACAGATTTTCTAAACATTGAGCTAAAAAGTTTTAAAACCTGACCCCAGAAATAATGTGTTACATACCTGGGATTTGTCCATTTGCTATTGTTTCAATTTTCAGTACCATACTGAGCAAAAAGTAACCAACCTAAAAGTGGCAAAAGTATGTGACCAGACTAGGAATTCTCCCGAGTCACAAGTGAAGTTTCGGGAAACAAGAATAAAATAAGAACCATTGAGTTTCCAACTCTCTCTGCCCAGCTGTGAATGGACTGGGTCTAAATTGGTGGGTATCAGAGACTGAGTCAGATTTTAATATGTCTCCAGAGTCGTTCACGATGCCCTGTAACTCCACAGAAGACAGTTCACTGTACCATCAGAAAACGGCTGCACACGAATACAATTGACACGTTATATTTAAATCCACACAGTAAATGCGGAATGCACCCCTGTGTGCCAAGAGATGCACGCACTCTGGTTTTTAACACTTGCAAAATGAGCCATTTTATCAGAGATGCCCAGACTTTCGGTTCACCTAATAATATGAATTAGAAAGAGGCCATGCGGAAGTGTAACATCATCTTTTAGATAAATTCCATCTGCATGGAGTGGTCCTTGCAGGTGACTCCGAGCTGTGCTGGGATTCTAAGTAGGTCCACTGTGAATAATAGCTCACCTTTCCCAAATGAAGGATTCTACCCATCTTACCTTGAAGCACTAATAATACAGACGAGGCATGCCAAATGCAAACTGCAGTGAAAACAGTTGTTAGCACATCTGGGGAAAATGAAGCCACTGTCGCAGCTAATGTGAATATACTGAAGGCTAGTGGGACTCACCTGTTTTCCGAGCCAGTAGATTTCTTCTGACAAAGGATGACAGCTGGTGCATACTTCCCAGTATAATCTGTGCTCTCCCTGACATCCCAAATGGAAGGGCTGCTGGCTCTCACCCCAACGATGTTCACGCCTTTCTTCACCTTGGCCCTGTGGGAGACAACGAGTGCATAGCTGAGACCACGCTGGGGAATCCTGGGTTCCTGCTGGTTCTGGGAACACCATGAACTTAATTGCACATTGTTGCCTGGCAGGTGGAAGCTCATGTTTAATAGGTCACATTTTTGCAATTGGCTTCTGAAATCCATCTGTCCTAATTTTCCCCCAGTTATTCCCACCTTTAACAGAAGAGCTAGTAACAACAGTACATTGACGGTAGGCAAGAGTCAGATACACAAAGAAAGAATAATATTGTGTTAGTGGATGGCTTTAATTAAAAAAAAAAAAAAAAAACTACCTGAAAACCCCTAGACAGTTAAAACTAAATAGAAAAAGGAAATGAATTTAAACTGCAAAAGTAAAATTGATAATAACAGGACACATTCATTGAATGTCTCCTTTATGCCAGGCATTGATGGGCACTTCACCTGTATTACCTAATTTCCCAAGCAAAGTTCCAAGTTCAAAATGGGGAGGCAGCCGCTCAGACAGGTTAGGGAATAACGATGGCCCATAGGAAACAGGGGTGCCGAGACATGAACAGATCTGCCCGCTTCTGTTTTTGCCCTTCCCACTACACAATCATCATCGTTATCCTCACCATCACCATGACCGTCATCTTCAGCATCATCAGTACCTACACTTATGAATTACTTACCATAACCCAAGCACTCTTCTAAGTTCATTATAGTTTTATCTCCTTTAATTCTCACCAATGCCCTATGAGGTCAGTACCAATTTAATTTTCACTGAGCTGCTGAGAAACCTGTGGACCACGCAGCTCATGAGCAGGTGACTGGGATATGAAATGGCTTCTACCCACAAGGCAGGTCGAACCATGCACAGTGCTTTCCTCGGCTCCACATTAAACTTTCTGATGGTGAAGCCACTTCTTTTGATCCCACTCACATCCTCTGTCACTCAACAGTGGTCAGTACGTGTCACGAGATCTAACATCTACTGAGACTTTAGACAAAGACAAATTTACCGGAGCAGGTGCGCCCTCCACCACAGACTCTGTTTATTATTTCTATCCTCCTTCATTTATTCCTTCCTTCATTCATCCCTGGAAAGGGATAGATGATATGGCCACAGGCTTTTCTCCAAGCTATCAGTGACTTTGTTCCCTACTGAGAAGCTGGACAAGTGAGAAAGGACACAGGGCAGAGCTGGTTTCCTTGTACGTCCTTATGTTTCTCTAAGAAATTTCAAGTGAAAAACGTATATGGAATGGAGAGTATATAGTAAAAGGACAATGCAATAATTGCAAACAGTTCGATGTATGAACTGCCTATATGCTTGAAAAAGTCATGTTTTCTCTTCTTGGTCCCTTGAGCAAAATATGAAGAGTTTTGAAGCAAGAATACCAAATGGGGTGGTTTGACGGGTGACAGGGTAGAAGACAATGCCAGAGGGCAGCCTCTGACATGCCCGTTCCAGATTCGTGATTACTGTACCTGTATGAACACAGAGGCGAGGCAGTGGATCCCGAGTCCCCACCTAAAATCCTCACTCTTAGGATCTGGGGAGACGAGCAAGAGGGGAGGGGACAATAATCAGGACTGGGGCTTGGAGAGAAAAGGAGGGCTCTGCCCCTAACATAAGAACACCATTTCCCATAGAAACAGCTTTAAAAGACATCATGCAGAAGCAGCTCACACAGCAGGTCTGCGGCGGCCGCCCTTAGAAAGCCCCGCGTGCACGGCTGGCCACCGGCGGCATCTGGGAACTGGGATTTCGAGGGTTCTCTCCATTCCCTGATAAGAGGGGCTCACTGTGCCTAAGTGGTTGTACAAACGATGTAGTTTATGCTGGACCCCTGCTTTCTATCTGGCTGCCTGGAATTAGGGCGTATACCCAGCAGAGGGTGCCAAGGTGACCAGCCCCCCGTAAAAACCCTGGGCTCCTAGGCTCAGGGGAGCTTCCCAAGTACCCAACATTTCACAACTCATTGCTGAAGGAATTAAGCGCATCCTATGTGACTCCCCCGGGAGTGGACTTTTGCAAGCTTGCGCCGGTTTCCTCCAGACGCCATCCCCTGCGCCTCTCCCTTTGCTGAATTCGCTTTGTACACTTCTGCAGTAACAACTCTTAGCCATGATTAGGACTATATGCTGAGTTCTGTGAGTCTTCTCAGCAAGTCATCACCCCCAGGAGTGGTCCTGGGGACCCCTACACACGCAGTGATTTGACTAGTCTACAAAGGGAAGAGGAATCATTTCCCTTGTGTGGCCCTCAGTGCTAAAGCTAGCCTTTTTAGCAGGTGAGCATCATACAGCAGTGTTTCTATAGGAAAACAAATAAAATGTTTTGTGTTGCAAATAACCATTGTGCAAGCCAAGGTTTTGAAGGTGGTCACTTACAAATTGGGAATCGCATGCATAGGCCAGAAAGCTGTCTGACCTTCTAGATACTCAGGTGAAACACACAGGCGAATAAACTATGATTCTGGCCTTGCAGGAACTCAATTAAATTGTGGGCAACCAAGATGTGGTGGTGAAAAAAAGTTCAATTCACTGTGGACAGCTACGATTATATCAACATGAATTCTAAGGGCTGTCCCAATTACTGTGCACTGGAATTTTAGTGAACCAAATTTACTTTAAATAAATAGGTCATCAACCTGGATTTGGCAATCTTTTTTATTATACTGGAGATATCAGTATATAGGCTTTTTCTGATATAGAATGGGCTCATATTTTTCTTAAATTTTATTCATAAGTAGGTCATTTGGAATTCAGATAATGTTTCTCTAATGAATCATTTTTAACTTCTCAGGAAAGAAGACGATTGCTTATTTAACCCACGAAGCACCCATATCTGTTGCTAATAATTTTATTACAGCGACATGAAACTACAATTGATAGCATTATTTCAAAGGGAAAATTCTTTCTGAAATTTAGTGCAGGATACTAGGAAGTTATCTTTCATAGACACAGACTATTTCCATAAGAGAAGACACATTTCTACAGCATAATTCAGACGTTCTGAATTGGAGAAGAAATCCTTGCTCAAGAGATATCACTGAATAGTGTGTGTATATCAAGTATGAACGTATGCAAGAAATTGAGTGGTTATTCCTTAGAGACGTATCTATAGTATTTACTGAACACAGTTTGCATTGAGTTAATAATTCTGAAACGCTAATCTCAGAGCTGTAAGTGGCAGCGTTTTAGAGCCATCAGGATAATTCTTAGAACACGTGCAGTTTGGCTCCACTGGGTCTGAACCAAATGCTAATTACTTTCTTTGTTTATGACAACTGAGTTACTTACATTCATTAATGGAAGTTTTATAACTGATTTGTAGTTCAATAAATACAGGTTACACTGACAGCTTCATTACACAGAGATAAACATAGCACTTGATTTCCAAAGACACTTTGCCATAAATTTATACTTAATACTATATCTGCTATAGCAATAGTGGGGAAAGCCATAATCTCCCCCCCATCGTATGCACATGCCCTGTGGATTGGTGTAAATAAAACCTGCTTGGGGTAAGGGTATATCGTGTTTTTAAAACATAACATAGCTATGGTGTATGTATATGTATATAGACACACACACACGTATATACACACACAAATACACACATATATATACACACATGCATATATACATACGTAAACACACAGAAACATATATATGCACACACATGTACACATACATATAAATGTGTGTGTGCGTGCACACGTGTGTTCCAAGTACAGTATCCAGTAACATAACTGAAACAGCTAATAACCTGAGCTCAGAATTGCCGTGCGCATTTGCTGTTTTTGCTCTCCCACATCCAATCTCTCATGTTCTGGGTAACAGAAGGATGCAACACACTGACAAGTGTTGTAGATTTGGTTAATGGCATCGTCCTGATTAACTGGTGGAAACCTGTATTCCCCCACTGGTTCAAAGTCCAACAAAAACCTCTTTGGGTCAAAGCAAAACTTTTTTGAATTTCTCATGTCTCATTTATTTGTTCTCCTTAACTGTGGGAAAGAATAAAATATGTTCTCATATGCAGTAGCTATACATCATATTTTGCAATCACTCATTGCTTCTAATTTCTCATTGACCAGGAACAATTTATGACAGCACCAGTTCCCACCAAGCCCACACATTACATAGCATACAACATTTCATTTACTTCAAGAACTAATTTCAGCCCCGTCCTTATGTCTTGGCACTGCCCCAGCCAACAATTACATTAATGTGTTTGTTTATGATGTTATTAGCAGTTCTTTGTGAATCACATCCCACTTTTCGCTCCATGAGGCACTGGGCTCTCTTTCAGTGTCTGGAATATACTTGCTAAGTCCCTGCCGTGGCTTTGGGACTGTCCCCATAGACGCAGGTAAAGACCAAGAGCACTACAGAAGAGCTGATCCTAGTTAGGTAATAACCTAAATTAGCAAGTTCCAAATATTTTTTTAACATGTAAATTATTTTATAGTACTCAGCCTTAATATAGGCATATTCATTTATCAATTTATACTAGGACTATTGAAATAATACTATGTGTGCTATAAAACATACACAAAATATAAATAAAAAATGATGAGATTGCAAATAACCATGTTGAGAAGTTCTATTGTTTCCTCATCCCAGAGAAACATTTTGCACACCCCTTGGGGTGAACACCCCACTCGAAGGGGATTGCTCTAATCCACCGGAAGCTTTAATTCCCAAGTGTAGGATGAAGACACACAATGAGCAGAAGTCACGTTATCATGAAGCAGGTAAATGGATATTAACAAGATGCTTAAAGGTTCCTGCCACCTCTTTGTGTTCAGTCTTTACGAGGATGAGGGAATCTGGTTTCAGGCTGCCATTTTTTTGGTAAAGTTAAATATAGAATGAAGCCCAGTTACCTCCAGGCAAACCATTTTGATGTCCTGCTATCAGGGAGGCATTGCAAGTGCCAGAGGGACAAAGTCCCTGCTGTCAAAGGACGACCACCTTTGGGAGACAAAGGAGCAGAAGATCAGACATGGAGAGGAGCTTGCTCACCTAGGGAAGGGGAGTCTCCAGGACGCCCAGTGGGAGGAGCCAAGAGTGGAGGAACAGCGGGGGCCTGGCCTCTGTAGGCCAGACCCTCTGCTGTGTGAGAG